CCCATTTGCATGGGAGCAAACAGGGAATGAACACAGCTTTCCTAGTCAGCGATTATATCTGTTGTGCAAATACTGGGGATCTGAAGGCTTTGTGATGGCCCTGATGGGGTTTGATGGCAGGGGCTTTCTCTCTCATGAATGGAGCCTTAGGGCCACATGGATGAATTTGTATTCAAGACTTGCCATCCCTCAGGAATAGCTGGCAGGGGTCCTGGGCTCCCATCTGCAACAGCTTTTGAGGTCCTTACGACCCCCATAGGCCTCGGTGATCTTGAGGAGATCCACCAGGAAGGCACAGCCCTGCTGGCTCTGGCCTTGTGGAACTTGGACCTGCCTTGTAGCTCAATTTCCAGCCCTGTCTCTGCCAGTACCTCCTGGTGGTCTGGACCAGGCTCATCCCCTCACCTTGTCCAGGGCTCCTGCCTTAATCCCCTGTGGGCACAATGAACCATTACTGAGGGTTTGGGTGGTGCTTGACTCTCCCTCAGCTCCCAGGTGCTCTCCCTCATGACACAGCTCTGCTCTTACAGCTCCCTGCTGTTTCTTTTCTTTCACACTACTGGAGCAGCAGGAAGTGCCTCCAGAGGACCTCCATGGATGAGAGTGATGGGGATGGAGAGCAATATATATATATATATATAAAGACAAGAGTGTACATACTCATGTTTCTATTCCAGGACTGCTATTGGGATAAACTATTAAATTTGCTGTCTAGTTTATAAACTAAGAGTCAGTGCATTACAGCAGGACAACAGCACTTGACCCAACACAACACACTTCTGGAGCAGTTTCTATTCTCTATTAAATCTGTTGGCTTTACCCCTGCCCCAGTTATTTCTCTGAAGAGGGAAAAACTACTCTGTGCTAACTTGAACTGATATACACAACTCCATCTGAGCATTTTCGTTTTACAAAACACTGCCTTGCACCAGTGACACAGCCCTTCGGCTCTGCTGCTCTTGAGCCTCCCCAAAACAAGGAACAGGCCCTTCTTGAACAGATAACTTCCACTTTTCCTCTGGAAAAAAAATCATACCACCACTTCCCTTCCCCCAGCTTGAAAACCTGAAGAGTAACAAAGTACCACATAGTTCATAAAGATTTTTTTTCTCACCGAGTTGTCTCATATCCAAAGAGAGACAGTAATTACTGTATTACCTCTCACCTAAGACATGGATAAAAATAGGCTGGTGTCACATTGCTATGACTGCTTGTTTGCAAGGCTGGCTGAGCTATTCCAGAGCTTTTTGACATTAACACTCCAAAGGTGCAAACAGACCCATCTCTCACGATCCTGAGGTGGCCAGCTGCATGCACCCAAAGCTCAGACAAGCTCTGTTGCTTCTCCTTCATACATTCCACTTCTGAGCCTGCAAAGCACTGAACTCCAGCAAACACTCCATCCTACAGGCACTCTTTTTGCACTACTTTTTCAGCACTGCATCCCAGGGCCTGCATTAAGATCACACACCAAACACCCTGCAGGCAAAGGGAAACTTCTTTTTCCTACTTATGAGGTAATCAGCTTGGTTCAGCTTTTACACCTCTGAAGTTTTCAGCACTAGGAAAATAAATGCAGAGCACAGGTTGGATGTGAAATACACAGAAAAAGTATGCAGCCAGACCCAGGGTGTGAAAAATTGGACAGAGTTGCAGAGTGGGAATGCAAGGAGCAGAATTCCCCCTGGATCCTGAAACTGAGACCATGATCATGGGCTGGACAGGCATGCTCTTCATTCGACAGTAAAAAAGGAAATCCACAGCCAGTTTCTCTTCCCTTCCTCCTGATTTCAGTGATATAACAACCCCAAATTTACATCACTACAAAGCCATAATGAGCAGCAAGGGGAAACAAAGGCAGACATACTTTTTATTAATCAATAATTAGATGCTACCTTCAGGAAATAATCTGAAATAGTCTTATATGCCTTAGGACAGAATAAAGTTCTCATTACAGACCACATTACATCAGGCATATTTGGGGTTATGCCTGAAATTCCTGGTGTGATAAATTCAAATAAGTAACATTATGGTCAATTACCTTGGCAGGGAGAAGGCAGAATAGAAGATAAAAGAGAATATGAAGCTGAAAGAGCCATAAGCAGTGTGTTAGCTGCTAAATCAGAAAAGGACATAGCTGTATGTCTAAAGGAGGCATGCACTAACTCAGATACTATATTCCAGACTGATGCCCAGCAGGTTCATGAAGGAAGAAGGGATGTCACAGAGAAAAGCAGGTCATCATACAGGAAATATGGATAGCTAGAGCAGTCTTGCCTGGAATGTTACCATGTGGCAGGAGGCTGTGAATATGATGAATGGTATCAGGGAAAAAACAGGTTTCTGTGAGATAGTACCCCAGTTAGAGGGCCAGTTTCTGCTCCCCAGCAGAAACATTAAAACTCAGTGCTGGCCCAGGACATGGAGAAATGAAGTTAAGCTCCAAGACCTGGATGCTAGGACAATTCTGGGGACAAAGGATCATTCTCTTCCTGTTTTAAAACAGAGACTGCTCTTTGAAGGCTTTGGGGAAATTGCCAGCACATATAGAATGTTTAACTTGGGATAATACAGATAATTTTGTGCAAAAAGTGTCTAGGCCGGGAGGGCTGGAGTGGGAGTTTTGAACAGAACTAAGACCATGTTGTATCAATCTCAGGCAAGGAAAGCTACTGACCATACATTTCAAGGCTCACATTTGAATCTTCTGAGTCTCAATAGCATGCTTGTAAATAAAACATTAATGAAACAGCTCCTTTAAAGATGAATATATATGTAAATATTAAGAGCAAGACAAGCACTGTGAAAAACACATTGCCTCACTGCTCTGTTCTGACTGCAGTTATCTGAAGAGTTTTCTTTGTGGAAAGCCCTAACACCTCAAATGTTGCTTTTCAGCTGAAATAAACAGGATAAAGGGAGAAATACCTGGAGAGAATACTGTTGATGTCAGGTGTTTTTCCATGTGGAACTGACCACCTGCTGCTTTGGAGACGTCATCTCCCATAGACATATTTTTAACCTCCACTTTGCAGATACTTCTGTTTACCAGACAAAATCCCCCAAAACCCAACAACTTCAAATATTTTGCCTGCCTGTGTGAAAACGAGGGAGGATGACCATAGAACTGTAAAACTTACTCAGGTCACTTCAGTGTTCCACCTAAAAGGCTTCCCATTCTAAGACCCTTATCATGCTGTTTCTGCAGCCAGTAGAGAGATTCAGGCCCTTCAGGGGATTCACCTCATCCAGTGTTACACTAGGAAAATATCTGGAGGAAACATGCTTTGAAGATGCTTCCCCTGCCAGTTCATTGCCCAGTTGACGTTTAAATAACAGGCACATATTGTAACAGGCTATCACCACACTGGGATGGATATTGTCCATTTGAAATCTCTTCACTTGTCCCAGTTGACACACATACTTGCCTCTTGGCACGGAGAAAAGTACACAACCATAAAAGGAGAGACACCTTTCTTTTGGTAACAAAGCCAGGAGATCCTGTTTGCTAAAACACAGTCCTTGGTAAATCAGTTGCATCAGAGAGCAAGTTCAACTTATGTGCTAACTAGAGGAGCAAACATCTCATGCATAACAGATTCTGGTTTGCCACTGAGACGGAGCAGTGGGATGGATGGCTGAGGGAAACTGGCTTTTGCTGGAACCTCTGCGTGACAACCAATTCCCCCCTCCATTAGACTCAAACTGGTGCTCTGCAGTCCTTAATGCAGAGACAGAGAGAGATGTGAGGGTGATGTATGTGGATAAATCAGGCATTTGCAGTAATGGAATGTTATAGTCAACTTTATTAATGCATCTTCAGTGCAAAGGGAAAATATCCTGGCACAAAAAAAGACCAGTGAGTTGAAGAGCACTACAGCTCCATGTTAAACTGCCTTCCTCCTTTGCACTGATTTGGGCAGTGTGTATAATGCTCAGAGAACAGAATCATGTACCCCTAGTTCCCCCACCACTCAGCACTCAATATTACTCAACACAGTCAAAATCCTTCAAGCCTATCCTCAGGCAAAAATCACCCTAAAATCAGAGAGAATAAAGACTGAATAGGAACCAAAGTCCCAACTCAATTCTCAGTACAGCTTTGCAGAACAACCATCAGGACTGGAAATACATTTGATTTTTATCATCATGAGAGAACAGCTAGGCCCAGTAATCCCAATTCTACCCTCTCTTAATTTCACCATCAACTGGACAGATAACACAAAACAGAGTCTGGCATCTGGTTGCTGAGGGTTAATTCATGAAGTAGCTGTATGGAAGAGAAAGGAAACAATCTCTCAGGCTCTTTTTCTTGTATTCTGTTTCCTACAACTCTCTGAAAAACACTTGGTTTAAAAAAGCTGTTCATATTTCCCCTTGTGCCAGACACCACATTTTGTTTGGCATATACATTTCTGATAGCCTTTCCTCCACAGATGTCTGTAAAGTTCACATCAGTCACTTCTTCAAACTAGGTATATTAACACCAACACAGACAATTTTGTTCCAAGCACAGTTTTTCCTTACGTCTATGTTCTGCTGTTCACTTTTGCTTCTGTAAAGATGACAGTATTGCTACATATGCAGGACAATCAGGACTCCTGTGATGCTTAACACAGGCTGTACAGTGCTGCAATGGCCCATTTTCACTGTCAGCAACGAGGCCTGACACGTCAGCAGCTTCTGGCACTAGCAGCTTTCTGAGGGAAAGGGGAGATTTCAGCTTTATTTAATTTCTCTCTTTCAACTTTTCTAACTTCCTTCCAGAAATGACAATTCTTAAAAACGCACGTGTAGAAATAAAGAAAGAAAAGAAAAAGAAGGCAACAACTGCCATAGCATCTCCTCCCATTTATCACTGTAACATTTCTTGGGTGGTAGAACAGGATCCAGTGACGTTTGGGGTGAGGGGGAAAAGGCAGGGGACAAAGAGGCAGTATATTTCAGACTCCTTAAAGCCATCAGAAGAGTTAGAGATATGAAAAACCATTTATAATTACCTCTGTTGAGTGAAGCTGAACTGTTTATATCTCCAGTAATAAAGGAAGACTCGGACTGCTTTCGAACTGTGTCATTCCACATCCTACGAATCCGGCTCTGAAGAGGGATTGAAGCACAGCAGGCAATGAATTTTTAGCAGCTGCAGAGAGGTTTCTTTCTGCCTCACTAAGGATGGCTACTGGCATGTCTAGCTCAGGATGAGACTTGCTTCTAGCCAGCTGTAAGCAAGCAGTTGCTGTTTTGTTGTAACCGGCCTCATGCATGTCAGACCCTGCCAGACTTACTTCGTAACACAAATGCCTAGCTCAAAGAAAGAGTGTATATTTGAATTGCTTACATCTTAATTTAAAAAAAATAAATCACGCATGAGAGAAACTCAGACCCCATGCCAGCTGCAGGTTTACCAATATAGCACCAAATAATGGAAAAATAACACAAACACAGAAGCACGTGTGTTTCTCAGACAACTTGTTTCTTATTTTTTGTGAAGTGTAACAGAAGACTTGATTTGTGTCTTGGTGTCCTTTAATGAACAGAAGTTTTCTATAGCTATTTTCCATCTTGGGGATTTTAGGGGGGCAAAAAAATTCCCCGCAAATGAATGACTTCTGTTCTCATACTGAAAAATCTGTGATGCTTTTGCCATCTGTGGTATAGCTTCTGCTACTGGCAAAAGTGTCCTGAATATGTTGGCCTTCTGTTTTCTTCCTCAAATATGCTGTGAAGTATCTGCCTCTGTGGCATTTACATCACTGTCTCACTCCTCCCCAACGAGACCTTGCAAAAGATATCAAAAAATCAGGCAAAATGCATCTTGTGAGCAGTTCAATCCCAATTCCTGCATGAAAGTGACTGGAGAATCCAGGTGTTCCAGGGAAACTCTCCCTCACCTCATGTCTGTGACTCTGATGGACGTTTTCTCTAGCTGTGTGAAGGTGATGGTAGGTGGTATGGGGGACTGGGAAGCCTTTTTCCCATTGTGACAGACCAAGTTTTTCTTAAGTGCCAAAAATCCAGTGGTTTCTCTAGTGAGATTTTAGCCATGAGAGATTTACCAAGGCCTAATCATATGGTCACAGACTGAAAAGTCCTGGATTACTCATTAACCATGGCATAACAGCATCTCCTAATAATGCATTAGCTCTCTATAAATGGAAGTACCATGTGACATGAGGCCCATGATCTTTCACAGTAATTATTTTTCACCTGGACATTTAATTTATTCTATTTCTCTGACATGATCCATTGTAGATTAATTATTCTGTTTTCTATGTGCTTCTCAGAGAATAAAGGGATCTTTGAAGCTTTCCTCCTCAAGGTCTTCTCTATTTAAAGTTAGGACCCAATGTTTTCAACAACTTAGGCTGATCTCCATCTATTCTCCATCACCTGTGTGAGGTTTCTCCTGGCTACAATAGGCCTTAGGAACTTCCATCCTTTCAAGGACACGTTTCTGCAGGCAAAATAAGACTCAGTTCACCCTCAAAAGGGCTTGTTCTCTTGTGCTGGGACTGGTGAGAGGGGGGAACCATTGAAGTCAACCCTTCTTAGAGAGGAGGGCACCAGCACAGCAGCTAAGTTTTGTAACACCAGAGGCTTTCAAATCAGCCACCTAAATGCTGCTGGATATTTTGAGTTTTGGACATTACTTGGATTTGATGGCCTGCTGGAGAGAGGTTCTATATTCTATTGCTTTTATTTGCTCTGCATAGCTACCAGACCTTTGAAAACACCAAAGCAGAGCTTTTGGATGACATCTTGGAAACCACTGCAAATAAATAATGATTTGCTCCAAGACATAAGTTGCAAATTAGGTTTTCCTGGAAAGTTATAAGCTGTTACTCGCTGCATGTCTTTTATAATTTAATAGTGGAACTGTCATGTATAATTACTTCCATTACTAATACTGAATAAATTTGTGTTTGGTTTCTATTGATTAAGAAATAAGTTTCTTCATTTTATATGAACTCTTCATCCATAAATCTGCATCTCTACACACAAGTTAGCTTCAAAACTGCTAAGTGTGCAAACTACACAAAACCTGAATTTTCAGGTGAACAAAGGCAACAAATCTAGTAGCTTAGTGAGATAGTCTGACCCCAATGGCTTGCCCTAAGAGGTCTATAAGCTAAGGCAAATTGTGTGAGGCACAAAACAGACCAAACCACTGCATGTCAGACAGCCAGCTCTTTCACTGGGAGGTCTGCTACAAGACACTGTAGCCTTTAAATTTTTTTACAAGAAAAACACTCGGGGCTTATAGCATCATTCTTGTACATGTTAATAGTTAATAGTGACAACCTTCATCTCATGATTAAAGGATGTACTGGAATGTAGCACAGCTGACAAAATGCTTCCACCTCCTGCTTCCCATGGAGAGCAGGCAGGATACCTGAGGTGATAACTACCAACCTGCCTCTGGAAGGCAAGTCTGCACTTTTCATTCCCAACAGAACTGTTCAGAAGGTTCTTGAAGAGGCACTTAATTGCCAACACATCTCAGGGGAGACCACTGTGTTGAGTTCAGGTCTGGAAGTGAGGGAAATCTCTGCAGGTGCACTGGGAAGTGGCCTAGGGCAGCTCCTTTGGTGCCGAGAGGAACTTTCCTCCCAGAATAGCTGAGAAGGCTCTTGGCATGGCCTTGGGACACAGACAAAATTGTGGGTTACCTGTGAGCCTGTGGAATATCTTCCAGGTGTCCTTGACCCCGAGGTTTTTCCTGAGCCGATGGAGCTGTCTGTACTTTTCCCACTACAGCAATGTGTGCGCAGGCATTTCCCGTACTCCTTACGGACCTGGCCACGGAAAGAGCAGAGGTGGTGAGCAGGCAGCCCCTCCTCCAGCCCACTGCCTTCTGATTGTCAACACAGCCCCTGGTTTTTCCTCAGTGTTTGGCTGACACAAAACCTGCTGCACTGTGTGGGAAAGCAGGCTGGTACCCCTTGCAGCTGAGCTCCTGGCTGAGGATGCCACAAGAGATTTCAAAGCTGCTCATGGGCACCAGTCAGCTACAGCATCCTCTGAGGAACATCAAAGGAGCACAGGAGAAAATGCAGGTACACTATTTATGACTGAAAATTAATATTGTTGTAGATTTGATATAAACTAGCATATTGGCTCATCAAGGCACTAAAAGTTATTGCTTCTGGCAGGGGACTAAGAAAGAAGAATTCCAAGAGAAACATATGAAAGCTATTGATTTTTTTATTAAATAAAAAGTTTCTTGCAGTCAAATTGAAATTTGAGGAAACAGTAGAACCAGCAGCATTAGAGATTATATTCCCAATGCTCAAGGATGGCTGGAGCCTGCTTTTCCACAGCACTGTGCAAGCCAATCATGCTTTAAATGGGCATTGTAGTCAAACCCGTGCCACATCCTTTGCTTCAGAGGAGCTACGCTGACTTGTGCCAGGACAGGATCTAACCTTCTACCAAGCTTCAGGTGAGACTTTTTATGGGCAGCAATACCCAGAAACCAGATGGGACAGGGATAAAGGTGAGCAGACTGTACTGAAAAAGCTGAAAGAGGGTCATGTTTCCCATTGACACAAAAAAAGCCCCCAAACCATCATGCATATCCAAAACACCAGTTGCAATTCCTTGAAGCACACGGTTAGCTGTACAGTTTTGCCAAACTCTCCATGAGCATTTCACAACTCTGTGAAGCAACTGTTTAAACAGCAAATTACAGCTTTTTCATTAGGCTCTTCCTTAAGAGCTTGAGACAAACACATACCACAAGTGCCCAATGTGCTCGAGTGCCTAATCAATCCTTTGCTGAGAGAAAATAATTCAATTGCTTTAATTAGCCACCCACTGCTCGCCTCTCTGCAGCACTTTGCCGATTTTCCAGGCCATGATAGATAGGAAAGGAAATTTTTTTTTCTCCCTTTAAATAATACCTCCCTCAGCTCTTAGGTCAGAGAGGTGCATCCACCCCACGTCAAGGTACCAGCTGCATTCTCCTTCCCTCTGTGCAGCTGTAAATCAGGAACAATTCCACCATCATCAGTGGTGATTTAAGGGTGTAAATTGGCTTAAGACAGAAAAGAGAATGGTTCTGTCATGCTGACTGAGAACCCCACGGGCAAGGAGGCTGTGGAGCAGTGCAGGGATGCTGGGCTAGGGACTGACCCTTTGCAGGGTGCATTGGAGCTGAGAGGATGTACCAGTCAGAAGAGTGCAGAAAAAAAAATTCAAACTCCTCACAGAGAAGCACCTGCAGGTTTAATAAGCAATGGTGATGCTTCCTACACTCTTATTATCATTTTGCCTGGAAACTTTCCTGCTGAAAGGTTTGGGATCATCAGCAGGAAGTTGCATCTAGATAAAGCTTTAAAGCTTCTTAAGATGGACAAATCTGAGATGCAACAACAAGGATAAAACTCTTAACCCCAGAAGTCTTCCTTTGGTTTCAAGAATGCCACTTGCACACAGCTCTGTAGATCCTTACAAAGGCATCACTTGCAGAGCTCACTTTTTATAATTTTGATTATGTTCTCATGGGTCAGATCTCCCTTGCCTGTATAGGAAAATGTGAGTAACAGAGGAGCAAGCCTGTGGCTCTCAGATTGAGGACAGATCTCAACACAGACCTGACTTTACTCAATAGCTATTTCACCAAAAGTTACTGGTTACCCTGAGAAACTGGCACCAGTGTATCCACATAAAGTCTTCCCTACTGGTTCAGTAAAGTTTTGAAACTAAAATGCAAATTTATCAGCAGACATGCACAGAATTGGAGAGCTCTGTATAACAAAATTTAAGTAGAGAACAAAAAGGTTCTTAAAAATACTTATTACTGATTGTCAGAGGCTGTAAATTTGATCTACATAAACACCGAATTTTCATTCTGTTGTGTTTACTTTTTCCCCCTGGAGTTTATCTAAGTTACTCCACTGTTATCTTGCAAATGTTAATTGGGGCATACTTCAATTTCCACCAAGAAGCACTTGCTGTGCTTGCTTTGAGGAAGATTTCTACAACACTGCATCAGACCCAAGCAATACAAAGGCTAATAAACCACTGCAGAACACAGGTCCCTCACTTCTCAAAAAAGCAGGGGAAGCAGCCCCTATTACATCCCATCAACCCACATATGCTGCCACGGAAAGGGGCAATTTCCTGCAGGGGCTGCAAATGAGGATGTAAAGCTCCACTTTGCTGTGAGCACTCAGCCACAGGAGCACTTTCTGGATGCTGGTGGATTCTCTCCCCTCTCATCCCCACTGGCATGCAAGGAAGGAGAATCTGGCTGACAGCAGGGAAAGCCCTGACAGCAGGACCCTGCAAACTGACAGCTGCCTTCTCCCTTGTCTCTGACACATCTGCCAGGGCCCTGGCTGCTGAAATGCCACTGCCACAGATCCTTGTTAGAACCTCATTCCCCAGCACCTTGCTGGTTTCCAGTCTAAATACCACCCTTATTAGGTGCACGGAGATAAATCTGTGTGATAGGAATTCAGGGAGCACAGAGGATGCTGTGCTGTGGTTGTTAGGCAACAAAACACCTCGTTACCACCTCTCTTGCTGCTGGGAACCATCATCTTACCTTTTTCTGGAGGACACAATGGAAAATGAATATAAACATTCCCTGCAGAGAATTGAATATGGTGAAGAGATACGCCATGATGACTGTGCTTTCATTAATATACATGAGTCCGAATGCCCAGGTCAGTCCTAATAGGCAGAGTAGGGCTATTGCACCTATAACCCAGGACCTGTCAGGAGAAACAAAAAAAAAAGAAAAAAAGAATGGGATTGGTTTTTCAGCTACACAAAAGAAGGCATGTGTCTACAGGCAGGAAGATTTTGCCCCTGGTTTTAGCAAGAAGAAAATAGCATTTCAAAATAAATCATAGGGAGCTTTTGTCTTCAAGCTGAATGCAGTTTACAAATCTTCAAGCTTGAGGAAATACAAGGAAATGGAAGTGTTATGAGCATAGAAATTTATCATAACCAAAGCACATTTGTAACCACAATGTCTCTTTTTTAAATATGTAAAAGCAGTGTGCATGTAAATGACATGTAGATGTTATTTCTGCAAATGGAGGGAAAGAAAATAAACCAAATGAAATGACAACTCTGATTGTCACTTTTTTTAGTGTCCACTGGTTTCACAGGACTGCCAGCTGGATTAGCTTCTTTATTTACACTTAACACCAAGACACATGTATTGCTGCATTTTAGCTAGTCTCCCATATGCCTGTAAGCCAGATAAACAGCTACAGGCAGGTGGGCAAGCCTTCCCTGCTTGCCAGATCCACTCCACACAAGCATGTTCTTTGCTATGCTGCTTCACACTTCTTCCACCCTGCAACGAGGGGAAGTGTGTGTACTCGTACAGGCACTCACACACTACATTTGCTAACGTGGGAGCTGCTGCCACACTTCTCCCTGGAGAAAAGGAGGGACAATCCTTCTTCACATGGGCTGTACAACTAAATCATCACTTGCTCCACCTCAGGAGGGCAGTGGGAGTAGAGGTGTAGTAGAGGTGTGCTCAGCCCCAAATGTTGTTCCAACAAACAGGGGGAGCAGGAGGTTTTTGCTTGCCTTCTCCTACTGACTTTCTACCTGGACAACAGAGCTGGAGACATGGGATGGCTGCTGCATCTTAGGGGTTTTGGGTGTTTCAAGAAAGCTGGAAGCTCTGCTGGGATGGCAGGTGGAGTATTCCATGTTACCCTGCTAAGCAACATTTAGTCATCTCCTAAATTACCCTTTCAAAGACTGATCTTCAAACACCAGGACAAGAGAAGAAGTGTGAGAAGCAGTGTAGGAACTCTGTCCTGCTCCTAGCCTAGTTTTCACATGATGCATTACCTACAACTTTAAAGGAATTGCTGCTGCACAGGGGAGGGAGTCCACTTCTAGCTGGGAAGCAAGCAGCACCTTGAATATCTGCCCTTTACCTGAAGGCTTTGGTTTTCTTCTGCCATCCTCTGTTACCATTAGGTGTAACACCATAAAAATGAATGCACTGATATCCAATATTTGCACCCCTTCCTCCCTGTTTAGCCCTTCTATATCCCAAATGAGACAAGACTGCAGCGAGCCAGCACCTCTGTTTCCTTGTCTGCCCCAAGGCCCCCTGAGGCGCTCCAGGAGGCTCGCAGGGACAAAGACCTGCCTATGATTCCAAGCCCCTTCAGCCTGGGTTTGGGCATGTTTGGGCTCCCATCTGCTAAGCAGAGCATGGGGCAAGGGGGAGAAAGATGAAGCAGCAGCAATTTGGGGGGACAAAGCAGCCCTGCAGAGGTAAAACAGACAATCTCAGCTATGGAGATGCCATGGCAGCTACAGCCTTGAATCCTTTTCCTTTTAGCAGGGCTTGTCACAAACAAAAGCATACCAATGTTGTATTCAAGTCTTTTGTTGTTTGTTTTTTTTTTTTTTTCCCTTTAGGTATTAGAATGAAAACACAGCATTAAGTCTTCCACTGAAGTTTATAAAATATGTATTATTTAACCACATGACCAGAAGAGCTCCCTAAGGTAACAGCTTATTAAGATAGTTCTTTAAAAATCACTATTATGGACATAGTAGACCAGAACAGCTCCTTTGAAGCATTTCCAGTCAATCCCACTAATAAATATTTAGCGTGATGCAAATTGAAAATACACTCTTACAATACTTCAGAAAGGTAGTCGCTAGATAAAGTTTACAGCTTTAGTCACTTGGGATATTTTTTTCCCCAAGATTCCATCATCAGTGAGAGCATGCTATTGTCCTAGTTGCATACCAATTAATAAAATACAAAAAATTTTCTTTTTTACCAAAACAAAAAAAAAAAAGAAGAACAAATTAAGTGGAAACCCCCCCCCCCTTTTTTTCCCCCCAATTTCCTCTTTTCTCATCCCCAGATAAAAGCTTCCTGCATTTCCAGAGTCTTTTCAAAATTATTCCCTGGAAATCAGAAAAGTATTCTGCTTTAAAGCATAGCCCATTCTTGAATCTGATTAAAAAGCCTTTGGGTGCAGATGTGTGCAGGAATGAAACAGTTATTTAGTGAAGATATGCTACCTTCAGTGATGGAAAGGAATCTGTGGGTTAGAAGACCCCCAACAGTGCAAACTGCACACATTAACAGTGTTGTGCCTCAGAAAACAAGATCTGGTGATAAGAGGATGTGGAGATTACTGTGAAAAGCTCCATCCCGCATCCGCAGAAAAAACCAGAGCCAAGCGATGAAAGAGAACATGGGAATGGTGCTGAAAGGACAAATACAAAGGACTCTTCACCAGAAGAACAAACTGAAAGTCTACTGCAAAGTTGATCTGCTTCTATTTTGTGCTACTGCACGTTAAGTTTTTGGTTGCAGGAGAAAGAGCATGGGTGCCCTAAGGTATATAATTTCTAGGCATTTTTGGCTTTCTTCACAGGCTTTTTTTTGGGGTTTTTTTTGGTGCAGCTTGAGGTTTTTATCTTGCTCTTTGTACAGACTTGCTGCTGCTTTTCCATGGCTTTTCTTTCCTGTAGTGAAATTTTATTGCAATAAAGAGACAAAAATTTTTGATGCCTTTGAAAATCAGTGGTTTACAATTAGGGAAAATTAGGAGGTATTCCAATGAGGAAGGAGCTACCAATGCACACAGATTTGCTTGCACTACTCCCATTAATTAGAAAGGGAATCATGGGGAATAGCAGCCATGCACCTTTTTGAAAATTTGCTTCTGTATTTATACTGCCATAAAGCAATCCCAGTGACAAAGCACAGGGGATCAGAGGCTGGTATTGGTAGAACAAGTCTGTACTATGCAGGATTAAATTGGGAGCTTTCACCCTGAATTTAAGTAACATCCAATTAAAGAATATAAAGCAAATAAGGTGACAATTGGTTGGCAATACACATGCAGCACATTTACTCTGCACCTTAGCTGTATGCCTGACCATATTCCTGCACAGTTTGCTCTTCTGCCTCAAAAGCGAATGACAGAAGCTTTAATGATTTTTCAATATTGATCTGACAGCTGGTTCATGAGACCACACTGATAAATGAAATTTATCAGCCATTCAGGTCATTCTTACTTGATGAAGGGTCTGTTATCCTCATAGCTAAAGAATGCATAGACATAAAGACAAGAACACCAACATTAGAAATATAATGACATAGAGAATTGAGTTTATTGCTAGTTCCCCTCCCTTCTCCCACAAGCCATCACCAAAACCAAAGGGGGACTGGCACCAGGTGTGCCTGGAACACACCAGCCAGCCTGGCTTGCTGTCCCAGGGAATTGAAACATGACTGGGAATGCTGGCTTAATGCACAGAAGCAGGCTGTGTGCTGCAGCTACCCCTCCTGGCCACCATCCCACAGCTATCAATGGACTTTGAAATATCTTCCAAATGTCATGGCTGTCACTGGAGAAGACAAGTTTTGAAACCCCAGCATAGCCACCACAGGCAGCTTTCATGTGTTCAAGTGGCAAAACTGAAGCCTGTGGGGCTGGAGCATGTTACAGGAGTATCTTGACTGCCATTTACTTTTCCAAAGTGGAACTTCCAAATCGCCACATTATGAGTCAGACTGCAGCATTCATGAGGTAATGGGATCAGGAACTTCTAAAGCCCTGAGTGACACAACATGGACCTATTTGCTACCATTTCATGGGGCAGAGCAAAGAAAGGCCTCTGCCCGGCAAGGGTGAAAAGCAGCTCAGTGCAGTGATGAAGAAACCAAGCTGGATCACTCAGCTCCTGCCACTGTGGGGACACAAGATTAGCTGCAGTAATTTTCCATGGGGACTCTCCCTGTCCTTCTGGGACAGGCTGTGTGCCTAACCCTGCCTGTGTGGCAGGCAAAGTGCAACAACTCCCAGGCCTCCTCTCCCCACTGGCACAGAGCTTTTGAACCTGAGATCCCTCACAGAAACCCCATGGGTGCCAGAGATGGAGGATGGCTCAGTATGTTCATCTCATTACCCCTGGCAACACAGCCAGGGCCAGTCCATCCTGCTGAGACCTCCTTTGGTCAACAGTGGCAACCTGCAGCTCCCCTACAATGCAATTAAATGAAATGAAGATATGACACAATCTGGACTTGTCAGCCCAGCAGCGTGGGCAGGAGCAGGGCCTGGATTTCTATTACTGTGTTCACAAACATGCAGGTTTTATGGTAAAAACTTTATACTGAAAAGCAACCTGCACAAGATTATAAAAGTACAAAATTTGAAGGGTTTTTTTATGTTGCTGTTACTGTCCAGACCCTCACAAAGTTTTTCAGCAACCCATAATAGCATTTCTTCAAGGCAGCTGAAGGTTCCATTTTATCTTTTGTACAGACAAAATGCAAAACTGGTAAACTCGGATTACCTTTGAGCTTGAGGCTAACACTTCAAAGCAGCTCAGGAGAAAACCACCAAAAAGACCTTAGCAGTTCTTCCCCTATTTCCAGCATGGATGTGTCTAGGCAAACAGGTGACTGTTTGTGAGATTTTCAAAGATGCCTAACTCCCAGTTTAATTCTCTACACACAAGAGCCGTAGAATTTAGTGTCTTGTAGCTCTCATGAAATACAATCCTTTTCATTTTACCAACTCAAGTGTTGTAAGAAGCTTAACTCTTGTGTTAGCAACAATTTCTGACAAAAATTACTTCAGAATGTTTTGGTTTTTTTACCCCGGTGAAGTCTGTGAAACCTATCAATGCTGCAGAAATACTGTGTCATTATCTGCAATACGTAAAACCCATCACTTAGAAAAGAGAAAAGCCCTGGAAGAGCCTCAGTTCCCAGAAAAATGGAGGTGCTGACTGGAAAACTGAGATTGTATTCACTAGTAGTAAAGGCAAGTAATTGTTGAAGCAGAAACTGTTGGAAAATTTAGCCTAGCACAGCCTGAGATGCTGCATCTGAAGCGCTATCTCCAGATTTGGTTAAATCCATCCAATAGCTGGCAGTAAGGGATATAGCCCACTGCATTTAAATTATGTGACCCTGCTCCCCCCACAGATAAGGTCAGACTAGTACCCCCAAAGAGGAATTTATCCCTTAAAAGAACAGGTATTTAAGGTAGGCAGGGCTTCACCATTCCCTGCAGAAATGCATTTCTCTACAGACTGCAGAGGAAACCTGAATGATGGCTTAGGTGGAGGCTTCACTTTCAAATACCTGAAGGTAAAAAGCTGATCTTTAGTGGCTGCATTATTCATTGAACCTGTGAAATCTTACCTCACCTCCCCTGTGTTTCTTTGCAGCCCAGATGATGGATAGTGGATGGTCTACCAAGCTGTATAAATACCTAATTCATTTTCTAATCTTAAAAAAGCCCTTACTTTACCTTGGGGCAAAGACTTCTTAAGGTTAATTACACATCATGTAAAACTCTTTCAAAATCTTATTTAAGTTAGATGTCTTTCAATTTCCCAGAGTACCTTCTCCTTCACTGATGAGAAAGATTGTTCACATTACCTTCTACATTCCTATATTTGGTCTACATTTCCGGACCAGTACTTTTTTTAAAAAAGTTGTTAAAATTAGCTACTTATATCCTTGTTTAGATGCTTAAGGAATTTCAAAATCAATTCATCTTAAGCTCAGGAACCCCTTTTACACTACCTATCCTTTTAAAATCCCAAGAAATACCTTTTTGTCACCAGGAGACTGAATTGCTAGGATACACGCGGACAGCCCAAAACACTCACAGACAATCTGCAACTTGTATTACATGAAGCAAATTACTTTCATGTACCTGGATTACCAATATCATAAAATGTTAAAGCTTTCACTTTTTCTGCAGCAGGAAGAGTAAGTCAAGAATTTACCTTCATATGAAGATTGGCTCTAAAATGCTGCTGAACAGAGAAAATCTGTTTTCAAAAAGCAGTTATTGAGCTCTCATTTAAAAAGAATAATGGCTGGTCTTCTTATTCTTTGAAGAGCTTTTTTTGTTTGTTTGTTTTTTAATGTAACAAACTGAAGTTTTGAACCATATTTAGAGTAAACCTAGGCCTTTAATAAGACCCTACATAACTAATTGACTTTACATATTATAATTTTGTACAACCCTTTACAGTTTAACTTTACTTAACTTGAATTTATCACTCTTTTGACAATTCCAAGTATTTCCCTATGTCTGTGATAATAGGAAAAGGCTCAATAAGCACATGGACTGATGCCTTGGGCCCCAAAATAACTGTTTGGATAGGAAGGAAAAACACCAAAGTGAGTATACAGGACCTTTAGTAGCTGTTAGGGGTGATGAAACCCAAATAAAAACAGATGGATGATGTGCCCCCACAAAAGCTTTCAGAAAGGCTCGTGGAATTAATTTTAACATGGTGCAAATAAAGCAGAGAGGCAGATGTTTCCTGCAGGCAAGCAGGAGGGAAACACAAAATAAAGTGTGCTATTGTGTCTCCCCACTGCCTGCCAATATGAAATAGTAGAGATGCTTTACTTTCTTTTTCTTTTTCTCTTTTTTGTTTTTTGAAATTTCAAGGATTAGAAAAGATTGATTTATTGAAGGAGCTGGAAAGTCCAGCACTCCCCTCATAAAGCAAACGGGTTCATCATTAATTAGTGAGGGAGCATCTTCATGGCAAGAAAAATCAATAGCAAGCAATAAAAGAGTGCTTAAAGGATTTTGCCTTTGCATTTCGTGACAAAGTTACCACCTTGATGGCATGAAGCCAAATGACTTCCTAATCTCCTTCCTTAGGCTGCTGGTGTTCATCACACAGCCTTCCAAGTCATCATTTACCAGTCCCATCTTCTGGCTCCCACACTGTCTCTGACAGTAGGTAGCCAGTCCCCTCAAGACATCTGTATCCATCTCAGGGGTCAGTGAGCCTGCCACAGCTTCATTTGCAGGAGAAACCCCTGCCTTTACATGCCTTGAAGACCAGGCAACAGGGTAATTTTATATATATTGAAAGCCATAGCCGCTTTTGATTTCCATCACTACATCTGCAAATGTTAATCACACCAATGAGGCCAAACCGTCCTTGGCTCTGTGTGATGCCTAAGCCTATGATTTGGGGCAACCAGTGGCTAGATTTTTCTGCCACAGGCAAAGCATCATCCCTTTCCTCCCAACTCACCCAGGGAAGTCATGTCCTGCTTTCTCAGACTTGTCCTTAATTATTGCAATTGGAAAGAGCAATTCTGTTAAGTTCATCTCATTTTCTGTAAGTAATTAATTACCCTCAGAATTGCTTACCCTGTTTATTTCCTTCCTCCTCACTTTGCAAAGGCATGGCACAATTATTCAAGCCACACTGATGTGTAACCACATATCTAATTGTTTCCACACTATATGGATTCAGCAAAGCCTTTAGACACATTTGTATTATCCAAATAGCACCAGCAGGGCTTGCTGACAAAGTGCTTAAAATGCATGGCCTTTTAAAACAATAATCATGATTTATGGGTTCACAGAAAGATTGTAGGTATTAAATATCTTCCAGGACACTCTCTCAAATCAATAACCACTGATTGATTTTTTTTTTTTACATCCAGAAAGGACAACACCTGTCAGTGGGAAGATTAGTGCTTTACAATCACCATTCAACATTAACACAATCATCACAAAAACACAGGTAAATAATCAAACCCCCAAACCAAAACAATCAGATATCAACCAAACCCTCCTGTGAAAAACTCAAACAGCAGCAGACTGCAACAAATGAAATCAGATGCTGCCATCAACATCTCTGTGGGAAAAAGGCATGCAGACAAAAGTGCAGTCTCAGATGTTTTTCCAGCACTGGCAGGGTTTCTGCCTCTGAGGTGCTCATAAACTCGGCCCTTGGGCAAAATATAAATGTGCCATACCTTTTCTTGGTAGGAAGCTTGTACGTAATTTGTTCTGTGCCAACTCCCAGTGGTTTTTCTGGGTTTGCTTTCTGCTGCCTGCTCAAGTTTGCTCATGCAGAGATGCAGATGAAGGTTACATGGGAGCAGCACTGAGTTACCAGGAGACTAAAAGGCAGGGTGCTCTCTTACATAGGATCCAGGGAGATGTGAGACAACTCTTGGCTTCTTCAGCCTGATAAAGAGGAGGCTGAGGGGAGACCTCGCAACTGCAGCTGCAGCTTTTTCATGGGGGGGAAGAGGA